ATTCTCCCACTCTCAAAGCCATGATTGGCTCCAAGCACTGGAATTGACTCAACTTTGAGGGCAACCAATACAGACCCTTCGAAGGAAGAACATGTTCATATAGGTCGCAATAAGGTGCATTAAACCAAGACCAACAAATTCATCAAAGAGAGTGGTCTTCAAATTGAGCCCCCTCCCTGCTCACAAACAAAAAGCTCCTATCACATCTGAGGGGCAAGATAGTAAAGACAGGGCATTGTAATGACCACCTTAAAAAGGTTGTAATCGCACCTAATGTTTCAAGTATGGGAACTAGGTCACATTGGCTTCCATTTTCCAACCAAGGCTTAAATCGGAGGATGGTGGATAAAAAGGCAAGGATAGTTGTCAAATGATGAAGGAACTGTTACTAAAGAAATCATTGAACCTATGACAAATGAAGCAAGTCATCCCAACTTTGCTCTCTTTTCAGAAAGACGAGCCCAAAGAGTGGGGAGGTGGTATCTTGTCAAGTGTAAACTGAAGATATGCAATCTCATTATTGATGGGGAAGCATCATCAACAGTTCCTCCAAAGAGCTGGTTGACAAGTTAAATTTGAAGATTGGGAGGTACCATATTTCTTGGGTAAATGAAACCACCATTCCTATTATTACCCACTGTCTGGTAACACTCTGGATGATCAATTCATATGCAAATCGGACATAATGTGATGTCCTTCACATGACGATATCTGTCCTAATGGGACAACCTTAGCTGTTTCATAACAAGGTCAAGCATGATGATGAGGCCAACACCTACTCCTTCAAGGTCAAGAACATGAAAATTATTCTGAAACCTTTGAGAGAGACAGGTTCATAAGAAGATAGAGACAGCCAAGCCAGTCAATCCTTTGACACTCAAGTCTTCACTAAAAGATATCAAGAGGACATGATAACTACAGCGCTTGTCATTAAAGGTGCCAAACCCGACAAAGGTCAGGAAGATTCTCTCTCAATTCTCAAGCTTGCTCCCAAATGAGCTTCATAATGAGTTGGCACTCATGAGAGACGTACGGCATGCCCCAATCTCATTCTTACAACTACAATTCTGAGCCTTCTTGTGTACCACATGAGCCCCATAGAGCATGAAAATATTTGTTGGCAAGTGGTAGAGTTGATGGACAAGGAACTTGTTCATAAGAGTATGAGCTCATGTGCAGTAACTACCCTCCTAACCCAAGAAGGATAGTTATGGCATAAAAACAAGTGCATGTGCATAAAAACAAGCTCGAAAAAATGTGTAAATTGGACATGTTTGTCCCAATTGATCAACCGACATACATTGTTCATTTCCTCTAGGCAGTCCCAAAAAAGTATTATCAAAAGAAATAAAATCCAAACTATTAAGAACAACACGGAAAATACTGAAGAAAACACATGATTCAACATGGGACCCATTCAACTCAATGAGTTTTTCCTAACTGATATAGGCAACTTACCAAAGCCATAACTTATCGACCAGATATCCATTTAGGCTAATCCAAATCTTAAATCCAAGACCTCTTCGAGATCCACGACCATTATCTCTAGGTCTTTTATAGATCGTACATTTGAGTTTCAATTGTGGTGAGAGCCCACCTTTTGAGGAGAAATTCCTGAATCGTTTTATGAAAGAGTCATCCTACAACTCTAGCCTAGGCTTGGGAGTCCCCCCAAAAGGTTAGAGGCCCATTTTTATCTTTTCGTGGAGAGATACCACAAAACCCTACCTTGTGGATTAGAGGTTTTCCCCACATAAGCATGGGAACCTTATTTCCCTCTTGCACCTTCTTCTTTCCCTCTTTCATGGCACATCCCCATCTAAAGTTCATCATCAATTCAAGCCCTACCATAAACCTTAATTCAAAATTTGCAAAGCCTTTACTAATCCACATCATTACAACCCCATCCAAATACCAACCTCCATGGCCTTCAATCTCAATTATATACCCTAGAATTGCCCTAATTCAACCCTAGAATTCATCACATAATCCTTTTATCTTACTGGGCCAGCTAAACTACAGCAACTTTAAACTACATCCTATAATCTACTCCCTATAATCTACTCCCAGTTAATAAGGAAGACCTCAATGCATCCAAACCATGCTTTCATAGGCAACCCACTGCTATAAACTTAAATCCTAAACCAATGGAATTTGAATCCAAGTATTCCATTGAGCATTTGGAGGAAGTCTCCTTCTCCTCTCTCTCTCTCTCTCTCTCTCTCTCTCTCTCTCTCTCTACTCTACTCTCTGTCGTACGTACTCTCTCTCTCTCTCTCTCTCTCTCTCTCTCTCTCTCTCTCTCTCTCTCTCTCTCTCTCTCTACTCTCTCTCTCTCTC